TTCCAAATATTTGGTTTGCTGGAGATTTACAGTGAAAGCTTTAATTCCATTTTCAGTCTTGACATCAATTCAGCTTCCATTTGAGTTATTTCCAAGCATTCATCAGTTGTGAGACCGAAGCTTTGCCCTCAGGCAGCATGTGTTTGGAAGTAGATTACAACAACCCCCTTCAGCAGCCCAGGAAAGAGCCCTCATGGCACTGTAGGGTAAGAACTAGACTGATAACCACAGGTTGGCATTTTAAGACCACCAGAAGCTCCAAAGGAGAAAAGTGAGGCTTTCTGCTCCCAGCCTCAGAAACTCTATACAGGGTCGTTCTGAGTAGGAGTCAACTTGATGGTAGTAAGTGGGTACCCAGCCCTGGGAGGGTCAGTTTTGCCATTAGGGGCATGCTCTTAAGGGAAATTGGGGTACTGGACCACATAGCTAAGTTGTCAGGTGGTTGTAGGGCCCTAGAACTGATCCAGTAAGTTTTTCTAAACTGCAATTGTGTATATTTCTAAATCATGGTCCTTATCCAGTCCCACCTGCGACAGTGATGAATTGATCTGCCACCAACCATAATTTTGTGATGAGTTCCTTTGTTTTCTACAATTAGCCAAGTGGCCTTAAATTCTCAGACATTATGGCCTCGTGTTGATGGTCTCCCTCATCCAAATGATTTGTCTTTGTCTTGTCTAGAACGTAACTTTTTTTGTTAGTTAGTTTGTTATGTGCCATTGAGTCAGAGCTGACTCATAGTGATTCTGTATAGGGTTTCTGAGGAGTGGATGGTGAGTTTGAATCACAGATCTTTTGGTTCAAACCAACCCTGTGTTTATCCTACAGTGCCACACCAGGACCCCTAGAACTTAATATAAAGGATTATATTAAGAATATATTTATACTTATGACCTTTTTTTCCCTCTAAAACAAGCTGGTAACCAAAAGGGTAGCAACGTACATTCACTCAGAAGTACCTTGGAAGAAAGGCATGGCAATCTATTTTTAAAAATCAACCACTGAAAACTCTCTGGAGCCTACCTATGTCCTGGTACACATGGGGCACCATAAATGGGAACTGGCTTGATAGCATGCTACATTCTTTCAAGACCTTACCCACCTTTCTAAGTATTGATCACAATCTCTTTTCTACATTTCTACCTATACATATAACATTACCACACCATGTTTCAATTATTTGGTTTCACACCCTCATGGTATGGGGGTAAACATTGAGGTACTAACTGTGAGGTTGTCAGTTCAAACCCACTTGCTGCTCTGCAGGAGAAAGATGAGGCTGTGTGCTCCTGTAAAGATGTATAGTCTTGGACACCCTAAGGAACAGTTCTTCTCTGTCCTATAGTGTTCCTGTGACTCCGAATCAACTAAACGGATTCTGAATAAATGATTTGACTATAATTTCCTTGATTTTGTGAAGATTTTATTTTGCCGTGTTCATAGTGCCTAGTTCTAAGCACTTTTATTTTCTTGAATGGACTTTTAACTTAGAGGTTTATGTTAATTAGAAAATATTTTCATAACTAAAACAAAATGGATGAAAGAGATGTATGTCATTGTGAATACCGACTGAACTTGCTTGACTTGCTATTAGAACAGGAGGCGGGAATGTGTTAGTTGCTAACTGGAGGATCATTTAAATGGACTTGCAAGTGGATGCAAGAAACACTCATTCTTGCACTTTTTCTTTTGTAATTACTATTAGCTTTCTCTACCTTTAAAAGCAGTTTACTGGGGTTTGAGTGGGTCAATTAATTGCCCTTCCCTTTATGGGTTCAGAACAAGAATACAATTGGAAGTATAGTATCAGCAGATAAAATTAAATGACCAACATTATTCCAAGTAAACCTGGATTGGAAAATGCAGCTAAGACTACATTGCCAAATCAGGCTTCCTGTTTAACGTCTCCCTTGGATTTGGCTGACCTACCCAGCCTTAGAATGTTTGGGGCAATATGAACTGAGCTTGAGCTAGTAGGACTTCTGCATGGAAAACAACTGTTGGATATCAATTCTTTGGCGGTTCTTGTAACCAAGTACAGGAATCCAGAACATTAATGTCCCTAGGTGCTGAAAGTAGCTTGCATTTGATTGCTAATCTGTGGGTTGGTGGTTCAAATCCAAACAGTGGTACTACCAAAGTAAATACTGCTTTTTTGTTTTGTTGGGGTTTTTTTTTTTAGTGTGTTTGTGTGTGTGATCTGCTTCCAGTCAAGAAAACCCTACGATGATGCACAGTTCTTCTTTGTACCATGTGGGGTTACTGAGTCAGAATCCACTTGATGGTTCCTAACAGCAAATCACACTGGCAGGATCTCACCAGTCAGAGGGTTTTTTTGGTGGCAGGAAGGTGGTCCCTTAAAAGTACTGAAAAGTTAAAGTTCCTAGTTAGTAGACCACAGGAGAGAGGAGTCCTGGTGTAGCACTGTAGAATAAGCTTTGGATTGCTAACTGCAAAGCTAGCAGTTCAAACCCACAAGCCAGTCCTAGTGAATGCTACACAGGGTTATAGTGAATCGGAACCAACTTGATGGCATTTAACAACAATGAGAGTGGGTGGCCTTCCCAACAAGTGTCACAGGACACTTTAAACCCAGAGTCCTGGGACTTCAGATATCCCTTTACATGGAGTGGGGTCTGTAACATGGAAGTTATATAAGAAGGCTCTGTGTGCTTTCTTTCACTCACCGTTTATCATTTCGTCATGTTGATAGTGAGTTCAATAAAATGAGCCCAACACTAAGGACAAAGGGATAGTATCATTGAGGCTTAATGACAAGGAATCATCGGGCAGACACCTAAGTTTGAGTGCTCTGATGGCAAGAATAACTTCACCTGTGAGTTACTATGGATTTTCAAGGATTCATTCTCACTTTTGTATGCAGTCTGTTTGAGGGCTCTGGACCATGTCACCGGAACCTGGGGAAAGTTGTAATTGCACATCTTGATGATGATAAGGACCAGTGACCTGAATCCATCTAAAAGTTACGCTGCGTGCACAGAGTGGTTTGTGCTGCTCATGCCTGATTGTGCACACCCAGACCTTCTGACATCCCTTCCAGCCCTGGCAGTTTTATGGTCCAAATGATACCTTCATTGGAAGTGACCTAAAAAAGAATCTATTGCTGGGCTTTGACCCATATTTTATTAATCCAGTCAGATTTATTGCACTCTGGCTTAATTTATTTCAGGCCCATGGGTTTGTATTGTTTTTTTCATTGCTAAGTATGTTCCCTGAAGTTGTGGTGTATTTCATTTGACCAGTTCTATAAACTATATAAGGAGCTCTGGTAGCATAGTGGTTATGAATCGGGCTACAAACTGCAAGGTCAGCAGTTCAAAACTACTAGCTGCTCCGTGCGAGAAAGATGAGGCTCTCTGCTCCTGTAAAGATTTACAGCCTCGGAAACCCTGTTCAGGGTCGCAATGGATCAGAACTGACGACGACACTTAACAACAACATAAACTATATAATAGCAATGAAGTACAAAACAAAAGTCACCGTCAGGAGGCACCAGTGTAAAAAGAATACATTATGCTTTTAGAGAATGATTTTCTTGATGAGTCAAGAGGGTCTTAGAACGAACATTCCTTACTAATGTTTTGAGCCTTAGCAATGGTCCAGAGTGTCTTAGTCAGGTGCTTCTCAGACTTCAATGTGTCCATGAATCACCTGGCTCAGTCTCAGGTGACTTAGATTCTGCATTGCTGATGGTGAATAGCAAGGAGAAAGCAAAGGTGACACTTTGATGACTAAGGTTTTCCTGACTCAAATCATGGTCTTGTCAATTGCCTCATAAACACTGGAAAGCTGAACAATGAAAAGGGAAGTTTGATGGAGAACTGAGGTGTTTCAGTTGTGGTGTTGGTGAAGAAAACAGAATATACTATAGATTGGCAGAATGATCAAATCAGTGTTAGAGAAAATGCAGCCTGAATGCTCCTTTGAAGGTAGGACGGAGAGTTTGTCTTGCTGACTTTGAACATGACATCAGTTAAGATGGATTTCTAGGAAAGCACATCATTGGTAAAGTGGAGGGTCAATGACATAACGGGAAACTCTCCATGAGATGGACTGACCCGATGGCCACAACCTCTGAATGACTGAGGATGGTGCAGAACTGGGCACTCTTCCTTCTATTATACTTAAGCTCAACACGAGTCAGATAGGACTTGGCTGCAACTCACAGCAACATGTTACCAAATCAAAACACCAGCTCCCAACTCATCACAATTAATTTTATTCCACAGCATGTTTAAGGGAATGTTATTCTACAGAAGATGTTTGGAATTAAAATAATTAAAAAAAAATCAGAAAGTATGCACATTTATGTATCTTTTCTTTTCATTAAATATATATCTGTTTGGCAAAAAAATGTTAGACTCTTTTGTACAAATACAAAGCAAAAAAGAAACAAAAAACAACCCCAAACCCTCGCAGACTGTAACTGCCTGTCATAATTACAATGGTGCCTGACAGCTGGCCCATCCTGTGGACCTATGTTGAAGCAGGATGCACCCCCTGCCCCTAGGAGAAAGGGTTTACTAAACCCTTGAGAGCAACAGCCCAGTATCACAGAGGCATTTGGGTTGAGTATAGTATAGAGATGGAACAAGACTATTGGTTTCACCATTTGTGCTTTCAGCTAAGGGACTGGAAAGATATGTGGAAACGAAGAAGGCAGGTCCAGCTGGGACAGGGAAAGGAGACCTAAGACTAGGTAGTGGAGGGAAGGTGGGCATGGTCACATTGCAGATGAGAGTAAGGATGGGACTTGTGGATGGTTTGTTTGGGAAGCCGATGTGGGCAAAGACTACACAGAGAACTACCCGTGGGACCAAAGAGTAACAGGGCAAGGCAAAGGTGGGGAGGGAGACAGAGGGAGACTAGAAAGCAGATCTCAATTCAAATGGAACCGGCTGTGAGAAGTGACTCTAGAGAGAAAGGGAAGGAAGGTGCAGGTGGTCTTCTAATTAAGTAGCTAGGCTGTTTTCTCCCCTTTACTGGTGGAGAGGTTTGCTCTTTTCCCACCTGTGGACCGTAGCCATAGGAAGTGACGTAAAGCAATGGAGTCTAGAAACAGAATCAGTGAAGGGAACAAGGCTCCTGGTAGGGGCAGAAAATTGCCGGGGTTAGAGGTGAGGCCAAAGTGTTGACCCACGGCTTCCCTTTCCCGAAGAGGATTCTAAGATGTGGGTGTGTTCTTATTCCTCTCTTCCACTAGCTAGGCTGATTTTCCAGTTTTGGATGGGGTGCTTCCCGCCTGGCCTCTTCAGTTACAGTCATAGACAAAGTCATAGTTGCTGGGCTCCTTGGGGATCGGGGGCGGGGCGTCGGGGATCTGAATGTTTTCCAGGTCCAGGAGGCGGAGCTTGATCTCCATGCTGAGCAGGGTGTCCAAGTCATTCCGGGTCAGGTCGCTGACCATGTCTTTCCCCAGCAGCGCATTGAGTCCATCTGTCCAGATGCAGTACTGGTGGGAAAGTAGACCGCAGGAATCATTATTGATGAGAACAATAAAAGTGGTCAACACAGCTAACACTGATTGAGTATGCACCATGGGTGAGGTTTTGTACCAAGCGCTGTGCGTGCATCATCATTTAATCATCACAATGTAACACTGACACTTCTGACATATGTTGGTTTGCTAGATGGGGGAAGTGTGGCGCAGAGATGCCACTAAGTAGCTTGTAAGTACGTGGAGTGGGTGGGATTTAAATGCAGGTTTAAATCTGACTGCCTTGCCTGGCATCTCCTCTGTGAATAATGCCTCTTTAAGTGTCAGCAAAAGGGCTTGAGTTCTCCACAGTACATGGAGGGGATTGCAATCATTGTAAGGAAGCCAAGCATATGAGTGTTGGATGTAAAATGCATGATCTGCTCTGTAAACCTTCACTCAATTCACAGTGAAAAGTGTAAACATTAAAATAAAAGGACTTGGCTTGAGTTCTCCATGACTGCGCAATATCACCCATCAAGCTCCTCTAAGCTCCTACACCCCCAGTATCCAGATACCGCTACGATCTACCCGTGAGTCTGTAATTTGTAAGGTAGAATGTATATCCAAACACTCCTGTACGCAACATCAAGTCCAACTTGCCTCTTTTCTGATTTCAATCCATGGCTCCAGGTCCAGGAGTTAAACCCAGCATGCCTAAAGACTGCCCCAATCTTGTAACTCCACCTTCAGTCAAAAAGGCTGAGAAATACAGTCTTTTGCTGCCCAATGTCTGGTGACCAAAATGTCTACACTTATTGGACGAAGCTAATGCAAGGTGAGCTGGTTGCTTTTCTGGTAACCTCTTCCTCCTGGCTCTCACACTACCAGGGGTTATCTCTGCAAGGTCTCTGGGGCCTGGACCCTGGCGCCATCATCACCTGTTTGGGAAAATGCTGAGTTTGGTTCTTTTTTGTCTCAAGAAACAATCTCGAGGGAACAAATCTTTACAGCGAGGATCATTCCCACCCCCTCCATACACAGAGTAGACAGGGATGGGCAACTTAGACATTGACTACCCAAAGTGTGTGTGTGTGTAGGGGGGCGGGGGTCTACAAAGGCAAGGAGTGACTGGCTTACAAACTTTCAAGAGGGAATCTAGATCCAAAGAGTGTGGAGGAAGGTAGAATCTCCACTGAGTAGTATCCAATCTGTCGAGGCAGGGCTGATAAAAGGAAATTTGGGTAGGTCTCTTGTGATATAATAGTGAATAATTGTTGTCAAGACTGATTGTGAGGGTTGGAAATATAAAGGTAGATGTTTTGTAGCAAGGAGGGGAGTGATTAACTTTGCAGTCTAGGAGTGGAGGTCCCTGGGACCATGAAGGGAGAAGAGCAGAGAGCGGGATCTTACCCAGAGAAGCAGCCATGCCTGAGATGGAGGCAGAGATGATGATGTGGAGAGATGGAGCAAGCTGGGGACTTTAGACCCAGAGAGGAAGAGGGGCTGTGTGCTGACGACTGGGGGGCAGGCTTGTAGGGTATACCCTTTGGATGGTTGATGATGCAGGAAGGGATTATAACCATGGCAATGAAATGATATACAATAGGATGAATGTAAAACTAAGGTTCTCCCATGTAAACTATCACATAATTCACAATAAAACATTAAAAGAAAAAAAAGGAGCAATCTCTGATGGTTATTGCAGGAAGGAGGAGGAAATTATTCATACGCTAGTGGGTACAAACATGTTGACATGGGTGACGGGGCAAGCAATATGCAACTGGAAGGAAGTTGGCAGAGGAAAGATGCAGGTGGCGGGAGACACAGGAAGGAATGCAGTGGTTAAATGGAATAGAGGCCAATGTTATTTACTGTCGATGCACAGAGGGGATTGCAACCATACAGTAAAGCAAAGTATATGATGTGTTGAATGTAAAACTGATGATCTGCTCTGTAAACCTTCACTCAATTTACAATAAAAAGTATTTTTAAAAAAGGAATGTAAAATCTATTGTTAATTAAAAAAAACACACACACACACACACACAAAAAAAAAACCCTTTGTCTCACCAGGAGAGAATGAACTCTGTCAAGGGGCTTTGTGAGGACCTCCCTTCCAGAAGTTGGAGTCCCGCCCTACCTGGTAACAAAGCCATGATACATGTTGCCCGTATCTCCAAAAACTGCCTGCTTTCGGGATGCTGTGCTCTGCTCACCAGATGTCCCTAGTCCTATAGAGGACTCCTGGTGTGACGCCTTTTAGGATAAGCATTCAACCTCAAAGTTGGTTTGAACCACAAGGTCAGCAATTCAAACTCACCAACTGCTCCATGGAAACCCTATCCAGAGTTGCTATGAGTCGGACTTGACAGCACTTAACAACAACAATGAACAATTGCTCTGTTCTTTCTATCAGCCTTATCTTCCCCTTCTAGGAGTTCCTGGGTGGTGCAAACAGTTAACATACTCAGCTGCTAAGAGAAAGGTGGAGGTTCAAGTCATCCAGAGGCACCCAGGAAGAAAGAAAGGCCTTCTGAACTACTTGTGAACAATTAGCCAATGAAAACTAAAAGGAGCACAGTTCTACCCGGAAACACATGGGGTTGCCAGCAGTTGGAATGGACTCATGGCAACTGATTTTATTGGTGGGGTCTTCCTTCCAGTATACCCTTAGATCTCTCACATCACCCATGCCTGGCAGCTCAGGAAGCAATTCCAGACCATACTTAGCCTGCACTTTGCACTGTGTCCTAGAATTTGACAGCAGACTTCAATATGAAAGTCTTCAAAGACTGTAAGCACTCAATAAACCTTAAGTCATAGCAACATGATGTAAATCTACCATGATGCACATTAGCAACACTACTCTTTAAGCTGGGTGATATTAGGACACCCCTGCCTGGGTAGTAGGAATCCTGATGATTATTAAACATTTGGCTGCTAACCAAAAGGTTGGCAGTTTGAACCCAACAGCTGTTCTGTAACAGAAAGACGTGGCAGTGTGCTTCTGTAAAGATCTGCAGCCTTAGAAACCCTGTGAGGCAGTTCTACTCTCTCCTACAGGGTTGCTGAGTTGGAATCAACTTGATAGTAATGGATTTGGGGGTGCTCCCTGAGTAGTACAACGTTGTTGTTAAGTGCCATCAAGTCGGGATCTGACTCATAGCGACCCTGTACAGGGTTTCCAAGGAGCAACTGGTGAGTTAGGACTGCCGGCCTTAATGGCCCACACTGACGTTGCAGTTTACCACATTAACCAGCAACGCCACACCAGAAGTCCAGTACAACGTTAGACTGCAGGAATTCTGATCTATGTGGTCTCAGCCAAAAATTTTAACTCATCCAAACTGCAGGGTTATGTTAAGGGAAAGACTGTTGTTGTTAAATGCCTTTGAGTTGATCGCCACTCATAATGATCCTGTATAGGGTTTCCGGGAGGTAGCTGGTGGGTGGGCTTGAATCGCCAACCTTGTGGTTTGCAGTCCCGTGCTAATCCTACTGTGCCACACCAGGAGTCCCTAGTGAAAGATGAGTGTTCTCATAAACACTTCAGCCAGATTCTGAGCACAGCTAAACATCCACTTACTTATAAATACCCTTGATAAAAACAGACATGTAAGTATCACCCTGGAGATTCTGTTTTGGAAGATCTTGGATGAGGAAACATTGTTATTTAGAAAGTTTCTCAACTAATTCTGAGGCACATCCAGTGTGGGAAGCCATGAACTCAATACCATTTAAGATCCCTTCCAGCTCTGCCACTGTGTCATTGTAAATCCCTGACGGTCAGGAATTCCTGGTTTTTGTATGTAGCTTTCCCAGCCTTGGCGTGTTTCCTAGGACAGATTAATTTAACCCACAGGGACATTTCTATGGTGCTTTTCTGTTGAGAAGCACCAGGCACAGAAAACTTGGTTTAAAAGTACATAGACCAATAAATAAAAACCCTCTAGTCCTGGAGTTGAAAGTACCAGTATGAGTTCATGATCTATTTGATCCTTAAGAACATCATAAATTCTAGCTCAATCCACAAAAAGACTTAAAAATAACAAACAATCTGCCAAATAATAATAGCCTATTTAGTGCCCCAAAGTGGTCACTAAATACCATTTCCTATTAAAATCAGCCTAAACCTTCTGGTTCACAACAGAACACAAGAGCAATCCACAACCAACCATGAGGATGGCCCAGGAGCGGTAGCATTCCATTCTGTTGTGTATGGAGTTATGCAACAGAACAAACAACACACAGCCAACAGAGCAAATGCGTAAGACGAGCCAGAAGGCCAGAAAGCTATCAAACGCAGGAGTCAGAGGACAGAGAAGCCAGCCTGGAGGGGTTCCCACTTGGGTCAGACACGATCAGTGGGACAGTAACAACAATGATAAAGTGCAACCGATTGAAACGCAGTGTGCAGCACTGTAGGATAAGCAGTTGACTGCAGTGTTGGTTTGAACCTCAAGATCAATGGTTCAAATCCGCTAGCTGCTTCTCAGAAACCCTATGCAGGGTCGCTGTGAGTTGGAACTGACTCGACAACACTTAACAACAATGTTTAAACTCATGACTTTGTAATAAGACTCATACACCAAAAAAATGCCTTATTGGTTTCTTAAGAAGATGGTCATTATTTTAAAAACTGATAAAGGAAATCAAGTATTTATCCTGCCTGTGGCATAGTGTGTTAGACATTGGGCTGTTACCCGAAAGGTTGTTGGTTCGAATTCACCAACTGCTCTGCAGGAGAAAGATGAAGCTTTCTGCTCCTGTAAAGATTTACAGCCTCTGAAATCTTACACAGGTTGGAACTGACCTAACGATACACAACAACAACAGCATCTTATAAAAACTGAATAACTGTAATGTGCCCAAATAGTTACCGAGGCAGGTTTCTCTCTATAGGTGCATCCTACTAATAAAGGAAGAAGAGATGATAGAATTGTTGTTGTTGTTGAGTGCCGTAGATTCGGTTCTAACCCATAGCGACTCTGTATAGGGTTTCTGAGGAGCAGCTGGTGAGCTTGAACCATCAACCTTGCAGTTCAAATGGCTTTGCAGTCTGGCGCATTAACCCATAGAGCCACACTAGGACTCCAGATGATAGAATAGGGTATCATTATTAGCATCCTCTGACAAATCTAAGTACCTAGATCATAATCCTCAGTGGCTAACATCCTAAAAAGAGAGGTGACCAGACACCATGGAAGTACTAAATACTTGCTTATAAAAGTGCAAATACTGCCAAAAAATTGAACCTGAATCGGATCAAGGTCTCACTACCAAATTATATGAAACACAGGGGGCAAAGGAACAGGCGAGACAATTATCAACATGATAATATCAACCCCTTCCCTCCTGCCCACAAGAAAAGTGATGCCCATGTCCTAATCTGTGGATTCTGGGAATGTGCTAGGTTACATGACATAGGTAAATTAAGGCTGCAATGGAAGGCTGCCAATCAGCTGACCTTAAAATTTGGAGATTATCCAGGTGGACCCAATAGAATCCTTAAGAGAAGGGGACAGGAAATGAATCAGAGAGTTGAGATGCAGTAAGAAACTTGAAACAGAAGAGGAGGGTTGAGTGATTTGCTGTGTGAAGGGACGGGTCTGATGTTGCTAGCCTTAGAGATGGAAGAAAGGAGGCCATTCGCCTTCAGAAGGTTGGAGGCCTCTGAAAGTTAGAAAAGACAAGGGAATTGACTCTTTCCTAGACCCTCCAGAAAGAACCTGCCAATACCCTGATTTTGGCACAGTGAGATCTACTTCACATTTTTCACCCCTTGATCTATAAAATAAAAACTTAGTGTTATTTTAAGCAATGAAATATGTTGTAATTTCTTATAGTAGCAATAGCAAACTAAGGCATACAGTTATAATCAGCAAAACCTAGATTAAATAGTAAATAGGTTGCAAGGAAAGGAAGTGTATGAAGAGGGAAAGAGAAAAGGAGGAGAGTAACACATAGAATTAAATT